CCCTGCCCCTGCCCCCAGCTGCTGCTGCCGCGTTGACGTCGCTGTTGGCTTCGCAGCGTCGCATCCTTTTTTTTCAAACTCGCTCGCACGCAGAAAAAAAGAGCAAAAATCTCTCCTTTCTCTAGCGCTCTCGCTCTAGCTCGCTCGCTCTCTCTCTCTCTCTCTCTCGCTCTCTGTGTGTTTGTGGTGAGGGGCAGGGGGGGGTGGGCGCACGCTGCAGCAGCAGTGGTCGGGCGGCGGGGTGGCCGAAATGAGTAATGAGTGTTTAGTACGCCGTTTGGCGGGTGATTTTTATGTGCGTCGTCGGACACAAGTGGGTGGTTGCTGGGCTGGTTGGGCGGGGAAGGGCTTGGGCTTGGGCTTGGGCTAGCAGCGGCAGCGGTGCCGTACCGGCATTGCCGCCTTGTCCGCGTTGCAGCAGTAGCCAGACGGCAGTGAACGACGCGTGAGTGCAACAGCAAGCGGCAAGCATAGCTTTTGGCGCAAAACTGAATGCCCCCCCCTGCCCCAAGCCCTCTGTATCGAGTGTTCGAGTGTATCTGTGTGTAAAATGACTTCAATTGTGTGCTAAATTTTCTATTTCATTGTCGCGTGTCTTTACGCGCAGCATCCAAGCGGCATCCACTGCCGCTGCCGCTGCCGCTGCCGCTGCCACCCCCAAGCGCCCCTCGGTCTCAGCCTCCTGCCTGCCTGCTGCTTTCTCCACCACCAAAACAAAGCTCCATCCAGCGCCAGCGTCGTCGTTGTCGTTGTAGTTGTCGTTCGTATCCTTCGTGCCGGCGTGCCTTCGGCTGTATTTGGGCTTCGGGTACTTTTGGTCCTGCTGCCGCCGCAGCAAACTGCCGGCGCTGCCGCTGCCGCTGCTGCTGCTGCTGCCACCGATTTGCCGATTTGCCGACTTGCGGATTTGCCGCTTCCACAGCGTTTGGGCTCCAGAAATAACGTTAGTTGCTGTTTGTTGCTCGTTACGTGCGCGTGCTGCGACGCGGACTGGAACATCCCTGAACCAAACAAAAAGAAGCAAAAAAACACCAGCCACAAGCCACTCCGAGAGACCCAAACAACGCACCAACAAAAGTCAAAGGTCTCGCACAGAAATACAAAAAAAAAAGAAGCCTTCAAGACTCCAAACACAAACAGCGAGAGAATCAAAGGAGAGCAGACAGAGTCCCACACAGAGTCACAGATCCTTCTGCTCCTCAGTACCCCAACCCCCAGACAGATCCCTGGATCTAGATCTTCAGTGCATTTTTTTTGTGTTCAAGTGCCAATCCAAAAGAGCTACCAAGAGACAGAGATTGATTGTTGATTGTTTTCATACTTTTTGTTTTCGTGAAGAAAAAAAACAAAACAAATACAAAAATAAAAATAAAAATAAACGGAAAAACGGAATTATTGTGCAATATTACGAGTCATTTTGCCCATTCGCAACAGATGCTGGCGTAAATCTCAATACTAAATGTAAGAAACCCTTAGGCAAGCTTCTGCAACAATCAGTGATCGAAAAGTAGTTTGGCAAAAGTGCAAAGAACGTAAAGAGAATCCCGCGATTCACAGCTGAAACTAGAACAGAAAAAAGCAGAACAAAATAAATAAAAGTAAAGCGAGCAACTTGCAACAGAAACAGAACCAGAACCAGAACCAGAAACAACAGCCAGAAGACAAGTGAAAGTGAAAGTGCAGCATTGGGCATCAGGAGGAGTCGAGTGAGGAGTCGTAGAGCTCGCCCCAGCTGGAGATGCAGTTGCAGTTGCACGTGGAGACGCAGACGCAGGTGTCCTGCTGCACCGAGAGCCACACAAAAGACTCACACAAGAACGTAAGTGCTTTCAGTCTGTTCTCGAAATATTTCCCGGCTTTTTCTCCCACATCCTCTCTTCGATTGAGCAATTCGATTTGAACAAAGTTGTTGATGGGAAACTCTTTAGAATTCTTCTCGGTTTGCTGGGTTCTTGCCTTCAGGATTCTAGAGCTTAAGTTCTAGAAATTTAAGCATTGCTGCAACAAAATCAATTCTCAATAACATCCGAATTCTGCTAGGGCAAGATTATGCCTGCAATCCTTTCAGCGATTGCCATTTGTCCATCTCTTTGTTGTTTATTTTCCTGTGCAAAACTGAAAGAATCTTTCAATAATTGCATTCTAAAAATTGTTCAACAAATAAAACGAGAAACCCAATTTAAGATTCTGCAATTCCCAATTAAAGATTCTTACTCCCCCCAAAGAGCCCTAACTCCAGCCTGGAAAGATTCTTCAAAGGTCTCAAGAAGGATTCTAGAAGTTCCGCGCTGGATTCCTGACTAGACTTTTCTTCCCTTCTGCCTTTGCCCCCCAAAAGTCTCGGAATCTCTGGCATTTACGGGTAGATCGGTGATTCGCTCGGTGATTCCATTGATTTCGCTCTCGCCTTGGCGGTCATTGAACCTTTTCCCTGCACGCTACCCAAAGCTTCTTTCTTGTAAACACAATTCCGCCTGTCTAGAGAGGGAGAGGGAGAGAGCGCGGAGGGCGATCTCTAATGCGTTGTTGCTTTTGCTTTTGCTTTTGCTTTTGCTGCCGCTGCCACTGCCATTGTCGTGGGTTGCCCGTCGTTGACCTCCTCGGAATATTACGTATACGCCGACGACGCCTGATCGCCTGCTCGCCGCTCGTGCTGCCCCGTCTGCCGCTGGCCACTGGCCGCTGCCTTGAGCCGTTTGCGGGCAATGCACGCATACGATATTAGGCCTTCACAGAGAGAGAGAGAGAGAGAGAGAGAGAGCGAATGAGTGCGAGAGAAAGATAACAAATGTGCGAGTATCTGACTAATACGCTCGCCCTCTCTGCCTACCGGCCCCTCCCTCCCCATTTCAGCTCCAATTAGAACGAACAGGCGGCAGCGGCAACGACAAGTTCAATGCGATCATTCGCTGTCGCTGTCGCTGTTGCTGTCGCTGTTGCTGTTGCTGCTGTCCTCGTCCTCTTCCTGCTGCTCTTCCTCCACCTAAAGGTTAATGGCAGGTTGGAGCGGCTCAAACGCTGCTTAGAAGAGCGAGCGAGTGGGGTGGTGGGCGGGGGCAACGCAGGCCGACTCATTGGTGACTTTCTTGGATGATCTTGAAAGAGTCATCAGATCCAACAGACAGAGACGGAGCAGAGCAAAAAACTGTGAATGATTCCCTCACATGCGGTTTCATTTATAAATCGGTTAAAGGTCGCCAATACGAGACCTGGTCGCCGGTGGTGATGCAGCGGGGGGTGCACCAATAACAAAAAAGAAACCTTAAACAACAACAAAAAACTGCACACTGAAAAAATGACAGAAAACATTAAAAAACAATTCTTGAAAAATGCAAACAGCACAAGTGCGCGACAAGCAGAAAAAGCGATACGCCACGCATAAAAGAGGCACAAGACATTTAGTAACCACCGCGCCTCCCCTCCTCAGAGACAGGGGGGGGGGGGATGCAGCAAACTAAAAAACGCAGCGACAACAATGAGCCCAAAAGAAAAAAAAAAGAAAAAAAATCAACAGAAGAACAACAAAAATAAGATGCGATGCGGCAAGTGGCAACAAGTTCTCTTCAGTAGTTCCTCTCGCACTTCCCCCGTCCGTCTGTGGCTGTGGCTGTGTGCCGTTCCCGCCGTTCCTGGCACTGTCCGCACAGTCCCGCTGTTCCGCCATCTCACTGTGCCACAGGGCCGTGGCAATCTTGGGTTTTGTTTTCGAGTGCAGGGAGATGCAAAGGCGATCAAAGGGCAGGGCCCGTTTCCATTCGATCCCAAGAGATCGTGAGCGAGAGGGAAACTGGGTTAGTGCAGCCAGAGGAGAGGTCGTCGTCGTCGTCGTCGTGTAATAAAATGCGGTAACCAAAATATTGAACATGTCTGCGTCGCAGCAGCAGCAGCAGCAGCAGAGAGGCCTCCTACCAAGGAGAGAGGGCAAGGGGCAGTGCGGGGCAGCGCGCGTGCAACGGTGGAGGGGCCCTAAAACAAATGCAAAAACCAGGCCGCCGTCTTCCACATCAAAAATTGACACCAAAAAAAAAAGAGTTGTGTATCTGCGGCTGAAGCTTTGGGATTGGCTTTGTTCTTGCATGTGAAATATGTGAAATGTGGGCTACACTTTCAATTGGTGTCGCCCACCCATCGGAAGAGTGTGCGTGCAGGGCAGGGCACACACACACACACACACAGCCAGACACACACACAGCGAAAGTTGCAATGTTCCCCGTCTATTTGCAGAGGGCTTTTTGTTGCTGCTTCTGCTGCTGCAGCGATCTCCAGTCCCGCAGAGCAAACATTCGCCGCAGCAGCAGCAGCAGCAGCAGCGCTGCGTTCTGCCTCTGTCACTCTCGCTCTCTCTCGCTCTTTCTCCCTCTCTTGCGACACTTTTGTCTTTACAAAATTTTCCCCCAAAAAAAAAATGATTGTGGCCTGGCCTTTGAATAAACAAAACTTCTAAAAGCCGCACCAACACACAGACAGAGAGCACGCACACAGGCACACACGCGCTGCTCCCGTTGCTGTCCCTCTGCTTCGTTCTTTGCGTCGACTGCGCTGGCCGTCACTGTGTAAAACTGCAGCCGCGCGATCAACGCAGCGCAGTCGGCGTCGCTGCACTCCAAAAAACTGAAAGAAGCCAACGACAACGGCAACGACAACAACAAAGGCAAACGACGACGACGAACGTCAGACGACGAACGACGATGAGAAGTATATAACAAAAATGCGAGCAAAAAAAAAACAATACAACAAAAAAAATAAAAGGCGAGCGAAAAGCGAAAACATAATGTACATATGAAAGGGACAGAGCGCACGGTCAGGGCAGCGGGGAGGGAGGGGGGCATATATATATATATATTCTCTGATTCAATTGGGCAGACACACATACACGTAGGCCTGCTGCTGCTGCTGCTGCTGCCACACACACACACATGTATTTTGCATTGCATTTTTTCGGGGGAGCCTCAGTTGAGCTTTTCGATTCCGATCGGTTCGTTCAGTTACTAAAGTTAGTTCCAACCAAACGCACAAAAAAAACCAAAATATATTTTCAAATATATTCCCAGTATTCCAATTAACAATTTCCAATTGCCGTTTCAAATTTTCAAATTTTCAAAACCCAAACACACACACACGCACACCCACACACTCTCGTGAAAGAGGACTTTAATTTTTTTTCAACTTTTTTTGACAAGTGCAGCCGCGAAAAAGGGTGGGAGAAACAGATCCCCGTGAGATCAGGGGGAGAGACTTTGTGCGCGATTCGCGCGCGATTTGGCAGCAGAGCAACAGCAGCAGCAGCAGCAGCAGCAGTGCAGAAGCGGATAAGGATCAAGGCTTAAAGGATACAGTTAAGGAGCAAGTGAATCAGTGAACAATTGAGAAAACTCTTTCCCTTGCCCACATGCCCGCGCCGCAATGTGCGTGGTTGCAGCAACCGCAACACTGACAAAGGCCGAATGCAGCCGCAAGGTATGTAAGGCACAACCTGCAACCCCCTGAGCCCCTACCTAACCCTAGCCCCTACCCCCAGCAAGGAGTGTATTCCATGGATCCTTCCATTCACAGAAATCTCGCAGTTACATCTTGAAATTTGATTCCCCCAGGTTCTCTTTTGATCCTCGTTGTATGCACATGAAGGACATTTCAAGTCGCTTGCAATATTGTGTGTCAGAGAGAGATGCAGCAGCTGCCTTTGTCCTCGCTCTCGCTCTCGCTCTCGCTCTCGATCTCAACTTGTGCTTTCAGTTTTTGGCTGCTTCTGTCTCTCTCCTTCGCTCTCTCAGTCATTAGCACTTTGATGGAGAATCATCGTGGCCTAGAGGCCCCTTCTTGCTGCTCGCTCCCCTTATCCACGTTATGTGCAAATTTTCGGTGCATCTGCATACAAAGATACAGAGGGACACACACACACACACACACACTGCAGGAAGTCACTCAAGGCAGCAGGCGACCGTGGAAGGGAGTGCGGGGTGGAGTGCAGAGCTGAGCAGAGCAGAGCACAGCGACGAAAGCGGAGCACAGTAGCCGCCCTGCAAGCAGCAACGTCCGATCTCTGCTGGCGTCTCTGTTTGCCGTCGTCGTTGTCGTCGTTCAATGCATTGTTCGCTTTTACCTCCTCTTCCTTCCTCTATTCTCCTCTTTGGCTGTGCCATTCTCCGCCTCTTCGGCCGTTGCGTCTTCGTTTGACTGCAGTCTGCAGTTTCCCGAAGCTGCCCAGGGCCAAGGCAGCAGAGGATCTTGGCACTGTGCTTCGGCTGAGCGCACGACAACCACCCGATGCCCGACGACTGCCTGCGTCGGAAAGCCCGAAACCGAAATGCGAAAGCCGCAACCGATGCAGAGACCCAGAAAAGTGCAGTTTGCTGTTCAGCGTCGCACCGAACAAACGTACAACGTGTCTCGTGTGGCAACTCATCCGCCGATCCGTTGCCGCTCCTCGGCCTCACGTATAAACATTGAGACATTTATTCGCAAACAAAACAGCAACAGAAACAACACAACAGCAAATCCAACCGTAAGCAGTGACAGGCCCGGACCGGACACCGACTGCCACGGAATAGGACACCCCACAAAAGTGCCTGCACCTACCCGTCCCCACTCCCTGCACTCTTTTTTTTTTGTCGTTTGTAAATTGTTTGTTGGCGGATAAATCAGGATAGATCCTTGGCCGCAACCAGCACCTCGCACCTTGCAACCTTGCAGCCTTGCAGCCTCGTGTGGCTTTTAGTCAGAGAGTGAGAGACCCTCGCTCAACCGCAACTTTAACCTCAACTTTGACCTCAGCAACTCAGCAACACAGAAATCTTTTTACTCAGGAATCCACAGGATTAAGACACCCCAGCCGCAGCAGCAGCAGCAGGTAAGCGCCGGTGCAACCGCCGATCATCCATACGCCGGGCAGAGCGATTGAGAATGTTCCACAACTTTCGCTTTTCATCTGCCGCAGTAGAACGATGCTTGCAACGGTGGGGAGGAGGGGCCAGAAAAATGGGACAACAACAAAGGCCAAACGAAGACACATAGACAGAGGGGAGAGAGAGAGAAAGAGAGAGAGAGACACGCACTCAGGCACAAAACGAGATGCGGGGGCTCCAAAATCCTCTGTCTACGACTAGCCTCTGCCTCTGCCTCTGCCGCTGCCTGCCCCCGCTGCTGATTTGGTTAGTTGTTAGGGCGACCGAGACCGAGGCCGAGACCGAGACCGAGACCCACAGACCAGAGACCAGACAGAGGCGACAGGCAACAACAATGTGCCACATCCAACATCCACAATTCCCGCCCCTCCCATTGCCATCCGCATCCCAACAAAAGCCACAAAGACCGGTACCTACTCTTGCCGCACAGACAAACACACACATACACGCACACACACATGCAACACAGTGGCAGAGTGGCAGAGTCGGGAGTCGGGAGTCGCCTAGGTGACGTAATGGCTACTACTCCACTAACACATTTTTCTGCATTCCTGCACCGCGTGCTGCCTGGCTGCCTGGCTGCTGCTGGCAGAGGGAGACCAGCAGCAGTAGCTGCTGCAGCCACAGGCAGGGAAGGTGTTGGGGAAGTGATGTGGGGGTGGGGGGCATGCTACCAGAGAGTCGCACGACGACGCGAGAGAAAAACTGAATGAAAATTGCAGTCAGAGTCAGGCAGCAGCCAACGAAGCGTGTGCCTAGCGAAAAAAGGAACAAGCACAAAGCACACCAGAAAAAGCAACAAAAAAATAACACAAAAAAAAAGGAGAAGCACGAAACTAGAGACAGAGGAAGCCAAAGACCAGAAAGCAGACTACGACAACAGACATAGAGAGAGAGGGAGGTCGAGGGCGAAGGAGAAGGAGAAGAAGGAGAGGGCCGACTCACACACGTGGTGGAGCCATCGAGGATGGTTGGGTGATGGGGGATAGGGATGGATGATGATGATGATGGCACTAGAAAAAAAAAGAGAAAAATAAAACGGAGACTCGCCAAACTGGTGGCCTGTCGAGGAGACTAGACAGCGTCTGAGGGAGAGACAGAGAGCAGTGGCTATGCGTGTGTGTGTGTATCTGTGTGTGCGAGTGGCCGACATTCAAGGTTGACTGCAATTGTTGCAGCGGCCGCGGCTGCCAGCCTCTTCCTCTTTCTTTGCGTTCCAATCATGCAATCGAGACGTGTTCGAGGAACCACACAGAGAGAAAGAGCGAGAGAGAGAGAGAGAGAGAGAGCGAGTTCCAGTCCAGTGTTCCGCAGAAAGAGAGAGTGAGCGAGTGAGTAACAGTAAAACTGAAGCGAAGACTGAACATTGCAGGGCTTCTTCCGCTGAAAAAGGGACTAACGGGAAATAGTAGGGGCAAAAGAAAGAGTAGAAAAGAAAAGAAAGACACGCTGATGGGGAGAGGTAGAGGCAGAGTGGAAGGAAGAGAAGCTGCTCCGTTTGCCATTTACAGTTAATCAAAATGACAGAAGTCGGTCGGCGCTGCCCCGTCTTGCAGCGGAGTTCTTGCTGCCATGCCGCCTGCCGGAGTTCTCTCGTGGGGGGCAATTAGAAGAAGCCTCTCCCATGAGAATGGTTGAAGGGGGTGTGTAGGGTGTGCAGTAGTGGTGGCGGCGGCGGCGGCGGCATTACTTCCGTTAGCCTTGGCTCTCAATCAACAGAGCAGCACAGCAGAAAGAAAGAGTCACAGTCGGCGGCCAATTGAGGCGGTCGGACGGTCGCACAAGTGGACACACCATGCAGATAGATACACCATTTCCTATAGTAGCTCCCCTCTCTCTCTCCTCACCCCTTTTCAAAGGTGACTCATTTAAAGTGGAGAGAGAGAGAGAGAGCGCGCACTTGTTTGGCTGCAACTTCAAAGCACATCTACATGCATACACGTTGCAGCGGCAGCGGCAGCGGCAGCGGCAGACAGATGCAATAACAAACAACTTGCACACAAAGCCAGTCATAATGATCATGAACATGAGGATGATGATGATCATGATCATGATGATTATGGTGCCATTCAAGGCCACGCGACGATGACTGGAAGGAGAGAAGACTAGCAAAAACAAACAGAAATATAAAAAAAGACACACGGAAAAACACAAAAGAAAGACAGAAACAGCAACAGCAACAACAACTACAACTACAGCAATAACAACCAAGTGCATAGTTATCGCTATCGACAAAGTAGGCACAGAACAGATCATGAGTATGGGATCATGGCAGCAGCAGCAGCAGCAGCAGCAGCAGGGGGAACAGTGGGGAATGGAGCAGAGCAGAGGGACTGCGCGGAATAGGCTGGCTGGCTCCAATCGAGAGTCAAGTTCTCGGAAACGGTTACTCCAAGGCCAAACCCTGGAGATAGACAAACAAATGGCATGGTCGACGGCTGAGGAGGATGAGGGACAAAGGCAGCAAATAGGAGAGGTAGGGACAAAGGCAGAAGAGGCATAAGCAGGGCACAAAGACAACAGAACAGGGAGAGAAGACTAGACAGCGACAAGATAGTAGAGTGGAGACTCCACAGGCACCTCTTCACACTGCTTCTCCTCTGATTCTCTGCTTCTCTGCTTACTTCTCTCGTTTGCATTCCCTACTCTTTCCTTACCCCTTTTAAAGCTCCACATTTTGTTCGCGATGTTTCTATTTTCTGCAGCAGACGACAGAGGACCGACCATGCACTTCTGTCCCGTTCCGTGCACATTCCCTTCCCTGGCTCCCTGGTTCCTCTTTCTCATCAACCTTCTCCTCTTGCACGCTGCTTCCAGGCCTGCTGCTGGCTCAGTCAGTCAGTTGGTCATGAGTGTCATGTGGAATCGTTGTTGTTGTTCTTGTCTTGTTCTTGTTGTTTTTGTTGGATTGGGACTTGTGGAATGGGTGAGGGTGTCTGCGTGGCTCCCCCCGGTTCCTTTCACCACCACACCACCAGCACTTTCGTTGACATTTTTTTTTTTTGTGCACTTGTGCACTCTTTTTCTTCGATCTCTCGTCTTGTCTCGGGGTCTCAGCTTACATCGGGGCCGTTCGTCGGATCGGGCGAGGCAAGGGTTGTGTGTTATATAAAAAAAATTGTTGGCTAAGGCTTAGAGAGCTTCGTTTTGCGGCGGGTAATACGAGACGAGTATTAACGGTAAATGTGACAGTGACAGTGGCCGTGACTGTGTCACAGTAACGTAACCCTCGCAGCGACCCCCTGTCCATGTGTGCGCTTGTGCGTCCATGATGCGCATTGAACCCCATTCCATGCCATGCCATTTCAGTATCTACTCTCCCTCGCCTTCCACCCGCGCACAATGCATTGACATTAAACAAAAAATAAAAATAAATAAAAAACGCCAAAAGATCAACGGCATTTGCAGGCAGTCCCGAAAAAGTACTGCCTGGCCATACACACACATGTGCATATATATATTTACACACAGACACACATTTGTACATGTGTGTGTGCGTGTTTGTGTGCCTAAAAATAAGCCCCAGCAGCAGCAACAGTCCCGATCCCCCTTGCTCCATGATATATCTGGAATTTCCTTCATATGTGTGTGTGTGTATGAATGCACAGATATACATACGTACATGTGTACATACATACATGTCGTATATTGCACCAGCAGCAGCAACAGCGGAGGCGGCATCGTCGATCGCTAAGTTCCCTCTCACTCACACAATTTGCTGAACACATTTTTTATCTAATAACCTTGTGCAATGTTATTAAACCCAAAAAGTTTCTTAACCTCGCAGCAGCGACCAAGCAGCAGCAGCAGCAGCAGCAGCGAGTAGAGCGAGCAACGCAGCGACAGCGTCAGCGGCAGCGTGAGCGGCGGCAGCAGCAGAACAGCTTTTTGATGAGAAATGCTAATACATTGTTGTATGCCAGTGTATGTATGTGTGTGTTGTGGGTCTGTGCGTGTGCGATCGAATAATCAGCAGAGCAGTAACAAAGCTCAAGGGGGTATCGGTTGTGGGATGGCGGTGAAGTGGGGCAGTCTGCCCGTTTTCCTTCTTTATGTACGATATGCGCCTACATATGTGTGTCAATTGATCGCCTGCATATACGAATGTATGCTTGTGTGTGTGTGTTGTGTGCCATATTGCGAAAAATGGTCTATAAAATTAATGAGCTGGCACACACACGCGCAAATACACATGTAAATGCATCTCTACAGTCGCCGCCATATCAATATGTATGACAACACCCAAAACGGGTGGTATGGGGGAATTTGCAAAGAGAATGAGAGCGTTGGAAAGGCAAAGGCAAAGCAAACAAAGTTCCAAGTTCCATGTAATGCGAATTCAATTGTACGCAAACACACACAACCACAGGCAGCAGCAACAGCAAGAGAGAGAGAGAGAGCGAACGATTAAGGCCGGGAGAGCACATTCATTGCGTTGGCTGCGCAGCTGACTTTCGACTGCAGCCCAGCGATTTTAGCTTCGTCTCTCTCTCTCTCTCTCTCTCTTTCACATCGTTTTCGGTCACTCTCCACCTCCTGCTGCCGCCTTCTCTCCCTCTCGACCACCTCCCTTCCGTAGGCTTTTGTTCTCCGTCAGTAATTTGCCGTTTTATTATTTTTTTTCCGCTGTTTCCTTTTACATTTTTTCGCATTTGCTTGAACTTTTTGAGTGCATTTCGCATTTCAATTTTTCCGAATCCCCATTTCCAGTCGAAAAACCAACACAAAAATAAAAGTAAACTGCTGCGCTGGCAACTTAGAAGCGCATTTCTTTGCCCCCACCCCTGGGCTTGTCGGACAGGCGTGGCTGCCTATTCCGTACTATTCGATACCGTTATGCTCTTATGTAGCCGTTTGCTCATTTTGCCAACGTCGACGATGGCCAACCCAACCCGTTCCCAGGCGCTGGCCAATGGAATGCAAATTTCCAATTTCGGAACAGAAAACAGAAAAACAGAACCCGAGACGCGACGCAGCAGAAATGGCGCAGTAGCTACCTACCCATTCACACTCTCCCTCCTCACAACACAAAAGCAAAAAAAAAAAGAAGACTACTTACAGTGATCTCTGCCAGATAGGAGACATCGATAGAAAGACGTGGGAGCAACAGCAACAGCCGCAGCCGCATCCGCAGCCAGAGCAGAGTTTTTGGCGCGAGGTGAATGCACCCCATCCCAACGAATGGACCCGGCGGGCGCGCGGTGTCGCGACGAGGAGTCCCGCTAGAACAGTCACCGACAGCGACGGCGTCGTTTGTTTGTTATTTTCGTACGTTTTCGCAATTTGCAGTTCAATGTTCATTAGAGGTAGAGGGGCAAAGGAAAGGGACGACAATTGACTGATTGGCACCGGGTAACCAGGGGAAGAAACAGTTATCAGGCAGCGAGCCGCTCGACCGATAATGGAACGAACGGACACGGTTCGTTTCGGAGTTACACGCTTCCCGACGGCCCGGACGGAGAAGCCGTTGAACGCGACAGCCACAGTTCAAAGCCCCGAGCGACGGCTGCAGCAGCGGCGAGGCGGGCGATGACGACAGCCCGTTCACACACGAAAAAACACAAATCACTCACTTCCCCTTCCTCTTCGGGTGTTGGGGGTGCAGCCAAAGGCGCTAAAACTGGCACAGGCACTGGCACACTCACTGGCAGAAAACAAAAAACTTAAATAACCTCCTTCATCGCGGAGGAGTCATGGGGCACATGGGACGACCATGTCCGCAGACGGGATCCAAAGCCTAACGCGTCACACTCAAAACTAAATGGAAAATGCGGCACTGCCGCGATCTAGCAGCGAAACTATTTTGCCGAGCGACGGCGACGCAGCTCGAAAACTTACATTGCTAGTTTTCCAGAGCGCTCGAGAGCGCTAGATACACGAATAGGAGAGAGGAGAATCCCACGAATAGAGAAAACGCTCAAATAGAAACCACACACAAAAACTACTCACGAAACTAGTTGATTGAGAGAGGAGAGCTTTAGAGTGAAACATCTATTGAGTGCAGTGTGCATGATCATGCTCAAAACTTTGTCCCCAACTTATGGCCAAGAAGTGTGAGGAGGCTAGTTTAAAGGATTCTTGTTGATTGTCTAGCATTATTAGGTGGTGCTCTGCTCTCGCGCCTGCTCTTGCTGTTTCCCACACTCCCTCGCATTCACAATCGCACACACATACACACACAACTACATCGCGTACAGTGAGCTTTTTCGACTTTGGTTCGCGATTTGTTGAAATTTGCTGCGGGGTAAACGACCGAATGTCCGACACATGATGACTAGGTTAAGGTGAAGGTCAAATTAGCGAAAAATGCAAAACAACTACAGCAACAGCGCAACAGAGAAGGAAGCAAGGCGGCAAGAGAGCGAGCGTGAGTGATGGAAGGAAGGAAGCGGGAGAGGGACGGAGAGCCAAAGCTGACGGCGCAGTCGCAGCGCACTAACAATAGAAATCAACTTTGTCAGCGTTAAAGCAACAAAGACGGACTCGGCTGGTTATAGTAGAGGGGAGTGGGGAGTGGAAGTCGCAAAAAGAAGTTGAAGCGTAGACAAAAGTTGTCTGCTGTCTGTCGGTAGGGGGAGGAGGGAATTGGATCTGTTGTAGGCACAGGAGGAAGCTCAGCCAGGCAGGCGGCGGCGGCAGACAGATGCACACATACACAAAAAGCCAAGGCCTTCTTTCATAGAAGGGGGTAAGGACAGGGGACAGGGACACAGATCCGCAGACAGTTCTGTTTTTGTGTTGTCTGCTGTCTGCCGATCCCCCTGCTAGCCCCTTCCCTGTCTAAGTTTTTCGAATGGATCCCTCTCTCCCCCACCATCCTGCAGCACCGATAGACAAGCCACAAGGCAGGCCAGCAGTGGCGGCTGCTGCCTGGCCGAGATGGTGTTTGTCCGCAACGCTTCGCTCTCTCGCCTCTGCCTCTGCCTCGCTCTCACGCTCGCTCGTTCTCTTTTCGCAAAAAAGCGTCTGCAGCGCTGCCTTCTAATGTGGGTTTCTCACTCTCTCACACACTCGCATACTTGCACATGTGTGGTTGCCAGACGACAATCGTCTCTATTATGCGCAACTAGCTGTGGCAGCGACGCAAACGTTGACTGCGAGGCAGAGCAGAGCAGACGATGAACGAGAGACCTTGAACTTGGACTCAGTTGTTGAGTTGAAGAATTGGGTTTTGTTTTGAATTGTTTTTATATGCCTGTCTGCTATCTCAGTAGCTCGTTCTCGTTCTCTCTCTCTCTCTCTCTCTCGCCTGGGCATGTTCTATGTTTGATTTGGGTTTGATGGTGCTCGGAGTGGCGGGTGTTGGGAAGGGAGGTGGAGAGGTTAGTTGTGGTGTGGCGACCCCCTTCATTGCTTACAATTAGCCTAATGGGCTAATTAGCACGCATTAATCAGGTGAAACTAGGGTAACCGACCCGTACCGTACCCCCTACCTCAACCAATTCCCTCTTTGCTGGTCATGTCCCACATACCATACATAAACACACATGCACGCATAGAGTAACGTGCAAAAGTATGTGTGCACTGTACATAAGCTTATGCAAATGTAATGTAATGCCCCGTTCTGCTGGACGCAGATGAGTTCCACGTGGTGCCTGGTCTCCACTGCACTTTCATTGAGAGGCCTCCCTCCCTCCACTCACTCTCCCCATGTCTAGCTCCCTGCTCAGTCTCTGCTTGCGTCTGTCTAGCATTTGTCTAGCCCACCGACACACACAGCCGCACAGACACACACACACAGCGTTCTGTGCTGTGCTGCACTTCCACTCTGGGCTGCTGTAACGGTGCCTTGCGACGTCATCGTCATCGTCTCTCCCTTGCTTCTCTCTTTGACTAGTTTTTACACAGAACTTTCGCTTTCGATGGCTTTTGCTGGCTGGCTGGCTGTGCTGTGTGGCCTGCCCTGCGCGCTCTCTCTCTCTCTCTCTCTCTCTCTATCTCTCTCCCTTTGCCATTCGTCACGTGTGTATGTGTGGGGTTTTGTGTGTGCTTTGGACGTTAGATTTTACATTTGGCCGGCATTTCTCTCCTCGGAAGGGGGTAATGGTGGGGTGGGAAATGTGTGCGATGTGGGCGCCAGAGCGTCTAGCCGGCAACAAGTGGAACTGTCGCCCCACTGGGCCCCGAGCGTGTGTGTGCATATGAGTGTATGTAGATGTGGTTGCCAATGGGGGCATGTGTGGGGCCATGTGTGGATGTTGATGTGGACTGACCTTGTTTAATGTTTTGTAAACTGTCGTAGGTGGAATGGTACACGACCTGATAGCACCAACTAAAATCAGCTCACACGCACACAAAAGAGTGGTGACAGTGGCAGAGACAGCAAGTGAGTGTGAGTGTGTGTGCAGAACTATATCGTCTAACCTTGAAAATAGAAATCGCACACAGAAACAGAAACACACGCGCCTGAGCGTTGGGGGGAGAGGGAACAACGAATGCCTAAGCTAAAGTAAAGTCAAAAGAAATCCGCAAAAGTTTTCGGACAAACAAAAAAGAAAGAAAAAACAAACAAACGCGCACACATGCACACACGGTCGGGCCCACGGACAGAAGCTAAGAATGAAAGAAAAGCAGCCAGAAGTAGTAGTAGAAATAGAAGAGTGACACGAGAGAGAGACCACAAAGACATGATACAGGAAGGGAGGAGAGCGCGAAAGAAGATGAGGGCGGCAAACAAGTTTGCGAACGTTCCAGGGCTAGTGCTGCGCGAAAACTAACAGCCAAAGCTGGAAAAAAACGTCAATACGTTTAATTATAAAGAGTGAAATATTTTATGCATTGGCAAATAGTTTGATTGCTGTTATTGCCCACTTGCTGTTCCATTTATGGTATTCACATGATCATAGAGTTGTTTTGGGACTGAACTAGCGGAGAAGCGGAAATTCCCGCTAGCTGTACGAAAGAAGCCAGATGTGAGCAGCACTGCTGCAAACACACGCATCAAAGGCCGCAATTCGTGCAAAAAATAGCCAAAAAAAAAGAAGGAAAAGACAAGTTTTATCGGGAAAAAAACGTATCTAGCGGGCAGCACTGCTACAAACAGTTAGAAGGAGACAGAGAGAAAGGTAAGCAAAAGTGCGAGAAGCTAATCAATTTGCTAGATCTATGAAGATATGTGGAAGAGAGGGAGGAGGGAATGGGAATGTCATAATAAACTCAAGCCAGATCGGATCGGATACATGTATGCATAAGCATGTGTTGGTCTATTTTAAATGGCATTATACAATTTAGTTTCCAACTGAATAAACTACTTCTCTATCTAATCTAATTTTTTGGTTCCTTTTGTTTTTTTGTTTTTGTATAAGCAACAGCGCAGTCAGCCAAATAATTGCTTTTATTCAAACGCAACACACACACACACACACACACACACAGAAGTGCGATAGTCTGTGTGTGCGGGAGAGAGAGAGAGACCCCCGAAAGCCAAAAAAAAAGACTGCAACGAAATCAACTTTTTCTAGAACTATTTTGAAGGCTGCTGGCGGCGTCGCAGCAGACGCTGGCAGTGTGGGATGCGAAAGCGACAGGCAGAACGGCAGAGAGAGAGAGAGAGAGAGAGCGAGAGAGGGAACGAACACGCGGCGAAATGCGCCAAACAAAATTTAATAATAATACAGCTACAAATGAAAAAAAACAACGAAACAAAAAACAACAACAACAGAAATATAGTATTTAGCCTTGAAAGTTCGTAAACACTACGGCCACACCACGACACACATGCAGACACATCTGTGTGTGCGTGTCTGAAGATCTGTTATATGCAGCAAAGAAATATAACAGAATAAAATAATGTATGTAGGTACTATAATACATTTATCCGCTTCACTGGAATGGTGAAATGATCTATTAGGCAAACAATCCGATGCCCCCACATCACAGCTCCCCGGTAGACATTTCCCACGGCGCCGCTGCCAGACCACCAGACAGGGGGAATAGAATTGCGAGCGCTTCCCATGTGTCGCGGGTAATGCGAGACCAAGGCGAGACGAGACCTTCGATTGGGGGATGTAATTGGAGGCATTTTGTTGGAGTCCAGTTGGATGTCTACCAACTGGAGGTGTCAGCGGCGCCAGCGGAGAGACAAAAGGCTTTAGATACTTTTACGTCTGCTTCTGCCTCGGCCTCTGCCTCCCAACCAACCCCTGCCACTGACTTTGCTATGCTGTTACCATTGCCGTGCCGTGCCATTATTATTAGTTATTAGTCAGCCACTGGCAGCGACGCTGGCAGAGAGACAGTGTCCAGAGACAACCACACCGGGAACAGCGACTGCGACTGCGACGCGTTAAGTTTTGTTCTATGCACAAAAATCTGCCTCCAACTCTGGCACAGAGAGCAGAAAAGAGAAAGAGAGAGAGAGCAAGAGAAGCAAAATTTGACGCTGGATTTTTTTGGCAAAAAAAAAAAGCTGCCAGCGTCGCTGCAGGCAGCATGCGACTCTCTGTGTCGTGTGTGTGTGTGCTGCGTCTGGGAATTCTTAGTACGTTCTAACAGTCGATCGGTCGCCCGTCGCAGCCCAGGTTCAAGTTGGATTCCAGGTGCAAATACACACACACACACACACACACGAGTGTGTGTCCCTGTTGCTATCCTTGTCTGGCTGGCTGCTTGGGCAATCCTTTGGGCAGCCAGCGCGCCTAGCCTGCGACGTCGAAATGCTAACAGAGCGTGCGCGCGTTCGCTCTCTGGCTCTCTCTTTCACTCTCTCTCTCTTCCAGACACAAGCTGAATTTATTTGCCGAAATTTTGTTGGATAGTTCGTCGCATGTGTGTGTGTGTGTGTCCTAATGCGCTTTTTCGGGTGCCGCCGCCAGCGTCAACGTCGCCGCCTCTGTCGTTAGCAGCTGGCCAGGCAGAGGCAGTGGCAGTGGCAGTGGCAGAGTCGGGCACTATCTTCTTCTTCAGCGCGAATTCAGTCGAATTTCTACGCTTGCAGTCGCCAAACGCAGCAAGCAGGCATCAAGCAGCAAGCAGCAGCAGCAGCCCCACAGTCCACTGGCATGCCAGGGCAGAAGCAGCGTGCCTTCAGTCTACCGCAGACCTCCCCAAACGCAGAACGCTCTCCACGCTACGGTCGCTCGTTGTTCTCTCCGCCCGCCGGATGATCCTCAATCAGATCCTAGATACTGGTCACCACAATCCAGTCCTGGGCGCTTGCGCCCCTCCTCCACCACCCCCTCGTTACACACACAACTCTCGATGAAATCGTGAAAATAGTTCAGTTTTAGTTTATTGTTTTTTGCATCGGTTCGTTCGGTCGTTCGGTCGGTCGGTCGGTCGGTCGGTCGCTAGGTTCGCTACGGTTTTGGTCCCACTGTAGTGTCAATTCTAAATAAAAAAACCCTCAACCCAGCCACCCCATCAACGCGCGCGTGTGTGTGTGTGTGTGTGTGTGTGTGTGCCCCTTTCTCAACAAAACATTTTTTTGTACATTTTCTTGAGTGACCAACAAAAAAGAAGAAAATAAACACAAAAGCAACAACAAAACGATCTCATACAAAATTGCGTATACGCAGCAGAAAACAAAAAATGTTTGTGCAACAATTCAAACGGAATTTCCCACCCACAAAGAGAGGGTAGCTACAGAATCGGTTTGATTTGATCGGTATCCAGTTGGAGAGAAAGGTGAGAGTCCCCAGCCCCCCTTCCCCAACCAGACAGTCATTGGAGCCGGTCGGGAATATGACGATGGGAAGACGGGATGACGGTATCGTCTTCCATGTGTTTGCGTTTGCGTTCCCATAGACAAAGAACCGTTGGCTTGAGAGCTAAGCTGCGCAGCGCTGCCGCTGTCTCTGCCTCTGCTTTAGGTTCGTCAGTGGTGCTATTTTTATATAAACATGAGCTATTCTCTGTGTGTGTGTGTGTGTGTGTGTGCGTGTGTTTGGGACAGCTCTACAAAGTGCAGCGCACTCTGCCGCGCTCTCTCTCTCTCTCTTCACACAGTGGACGGACTTATCTAATAGTTTTCACTTTCAATGTCGTGCAAAAGCAACAGCAACAACAAAAAGCTCTGCTGCGTTGCGCGGTTAGCGATAAGCATGCCGGCAGCACCAGCGGCAGAGTGGATAGGGGAGAGGGAGTGCAGGGGAGGAATGAATTCTAGCAAAAGTTTTCGGTATTCAAATGAAATTTGCGATTTGCCTTTTGGTTTGCTTTTACGTTTGCTTTTGCGTGGTGTCTCGTTCTCCCTCGATCTCTCTCTCTCTTTGTCTTTGTCTCTCTTCCTGCAGCGATCAGCGATGCGTGCCTGGCTGTCCTCATTCCACCTTTTCTCTCTCTCTCCATTCGCCCTCCCACTCTCTGCTTGCTGGAGTACAAGTGTTATATGCTTATGCTTGTTATATATTTTGTATTTGCCTCTGTTATAATTATACCATTTTTTGTTGCTGTTGTTGCTGCGCGTTTTTGCGATGCGTTTGCTCTTTTTTCTCACTTTTACCTTGTTTTTTTGTTGTTGTTCTCTCATTTCTTTCTCTGTTCTGTTCTTTTGGTGGTTCTGCACTCGTTATAAATTTTTTGCGCTGTCTGCACACATGCCAGCCACCCCCCCGCTCGGCACCACTCCCTCTGCTAATTGTCTTGCAGATAGTTTTTTGTGCTGTTTATTTTTGGTTTTTTTGTTCTTTTTGTTCTTTTTGTTCCGTGGTGTGACATAGAAAACTGCTCGACGAGAATGCGTCGTCGCCGTGGTTGACATTTTAAACTGCATTTGTTAACAATTTTTGGTACATTTTGCGAAGCAGAAAGAGACTGTCAGAGAGACGGGGAGAAAAAGCAGCAAACAAATGCGGAAACTTTACGCAAATTCAGCAGAAAGTGGGACTAGGGAGGGGGCTTTGAATAGATGCATTTGCAGAGCAATTTTCATTATGGAATTTCGATGATAATTATACGGCGCATTCTGTCAAGTGTGCCGTTCACCTATTGTCAATTTTAACATCAAATCTAAGCCAGTTCAACTTTATTTGTATTCCCTTTCTAAACAAGATTTTAACGTCAAACTTTCCCTCTTTTTGCAGCTAAACAATAAACATTAAGGACACAACAAATATCCACAGAGAATACAAGGAAAAAAAGCAAAACTAGTGAGAAACAAGAAAACTTCAGAGATAGAAGTTATAGCCCGCAGTTTTCGGGAGCCAAAAGTCGCCCCACCTTTTCCACAAAGGGGGCACAGTAACAGCCGCCAACATACGCAAGAAGGTGACCTCGAAGAAGGCCAGCGTTGTGTCGGTTGACGACGATCACAACAACAATAACAACCACAACAACGACCACAACGCTCGGCAGGCAACACCAACACTAGCAGCAATCCATACATCCATAACCCCCAATCGGACACCCACATTGACACCGATTGCCACGCCAACACCAACACCAACGCCGACACCAACACCAGCACCAGCACCAGCACCCACACCCAAATCGGACACCACTGAACAACAGGATTATCAAGGCAAAATGGACGACACACAGCATTTCTGCCTGCGTTGGAACAATTACCAGAGCAGCATCACATCGGCATTTGAGAATCTGCGGGACGATGAGGCCTTTGTGGATGTCACCCTCGCCTGTGAGGGGCGCAGCATTAAGGCCCATCGCGTTGTCCTCTCCGCCTGCAGTCCCTACTTCCGCGAACTGCTGAAGGTGAGTGATATTTTTCCTTATTTTGTGACCCACTTAGCTGCGTTCGCTGACAGAGTCTCTGGTTTTTGTTTCCGTGCCACATGTGCAGCAGCCGCTGATTGGGTCTCCATATGTATCCATAGATTGTGAGTCCATATTGTGAGTCATTTGGGGGAAAATGAAACCATTTCAAGGCAGAATTAAGCTCCAAGTTTCCCGGTCTTCGTGTTGCTGTTTTTTTTTGCCTTCTCTGCCTTCTGGCAGGGAACTCTCTGCGGCAGGAGAGACTGCGTTCTGTTTGCATTTTAATTTATTTAGTTGCACACGAAAGTGAGGCAGGAGAACCGCCACAACGTGGATAGACACGAACGGAGGGCAGGTCAGGCAGGAAGTTAGTTGTGTGTACAGTCCGTAACATGTCATAAAGTTTTGCCTGCCACGCGGCGTGTGTCTCTGTGGCAGGTTTGTGGTGCAAATTAGTCGATGGCCGGAATGTCCTGTGCTTTCATTTTGTTGGTTTTTGTACTGCTGCTAGCACGTTACGTATGATTGATTTGTGTCGCCTGATCATGCAACAACGCATGAGGATGCCAGCACTGCCGGCAGTGCTCTACCTCCCAGTACACTCCCTGCGGCTCCCTGCCCTAATCCTTGAAGTTTCCGCGGCCCCAAAGTTGCAGGCCAAAGTAAACTTCCCAACTAATGCAGCTCCACCCTGCTCCGGCCCCGCTGCCCTTCTCCACGGTGCCTGCAGCTTTGCTTCATTATTTTTATTATGACATTAAAATTATGTGAATCGGTTGTTGTTCGTCGACATTTGCCCGCCAAAAACTTTTGCGGCAGCCACAGCCACAGCCACAGCCACAGCCACAGCCCCTCTGCATTGAAAATATTTGCACGCAATTGCGGTTTTTTGGCGGAAGAGGGACACAGCTAGTTAGAGCGAAAGAGAGAGAGAGAGAGAGGGAGAGAGAGTGGAAGAGCAACGTTTGCCATTTGCATTGTAACGTAGCTGTCATTGGGGCAACGGTGTGGCAGTGTGTGTGTGTGTGTGTGTGTGTGTGGGGCAGGGGCTGCAGTAGAAATTATATAAATTACAAAGTGTACCACCCCTCAAGGATACCGCCCATCCTTGTCTCGTCCTTCGACATGATTTGTTAACATGATAGAAAACTTAGTGCTTTCGTTCCGTTCCCTGCCGTACTGCTTTCTGCTCTGTTCTGTTATTATTTGCCGTTTTTTGTTCCAAATTATGCGCACGGCCAAGAAACAGAGAGCGATGGGAGGCGAGCGCATGGCTTGGCCTGCGGAATGGATACCCTTTGGAAAGTAGTTGTATCTTGCAGATACTTTGCAGCAAAGGCTACAGCTACGACAGATACTTCTGCATTAAGTTAGGGTATAGAAAAAGTGTCCAAAATGAACTGCAATTAGGCGAGCGGCATATCATGGGGCAGAGTCAGTCGGTGATTCTGATTACGCAATAGTAACACGGCTATGGCAACGACAGAGGCACAACTCTTCCTCTCAACTCAAAACTCTGAAAACAAGAACATGTCTGCTCCGTCGTCCCTCTGTCCCTGTCCCTGTCCCTGTCTTCGTGAAAGTTTTGCAAGATCCTCCTCCCTGGTGCTGCCTGCTGCCAGCCTGCTCTCATTCTCAAACAACAACGGAAAAAGTCGGCATTTAATTTGTTAAAAAGGCCAACTAAATGCAGAGAGGGGCAGGGGACAGCAAACGTGCAACAAAGGGTCGCAGTTGCATTTTTCTTGAGTTTCTCCGATTCTGATTTTTTTTTTCCCCTCGTTTTTTGTACTGTTTGCTGGCCGTTTTTGTTTGGGTGGAAATTATGTACCCAAGAAATTAGTATACAAAAAAAAAAAACTTTGCTGGCAACAGAACTTTTGTAAAATTCAATTTGAAATACATGCAACAAAGCAGCAACATCAGAGTGGCATGGGGCAAACGAGAGCCTGTCTCGGGGCAGCAGCAGCTCAATGGACACAACTGAACTGGACGATGGGGCAGTGGCGAGAAGGGAGACACTTGGCAGCAGCAGCAGCAGCAGATCCTTCTAGCAGCTGGGACTGAGGCAGAGGCAGAGGCAGAGACAGTCAGCACTTGGCGTCGCAATTGTTCGCGACTTTGCGCCTATGCATAAATATTTAATTAACTGCAGAGCATTATTTTAATTAGGTGTAAAAACTGCCAACAGAAACACAACGCAGACAAGAGCGGAACAGGGGCGTTAGCGGGTCAAAGGTGGGGTTAATGGGTTCGCTTGGCATTTGCTAAAAGCATTTTTTGTGCTCTTAATTTTTTGTTTGTGTTTGTTTTTTTGTTGGCTTTTATGTAAACTGTCAGCAACTGCAAGCTGCCAGTGGCACCTCCGCCTCCTCCCCCCATTAGCATGATGTGTCCAAGAAATTCAAAGATGGAGGGAAAGTATCTCAAAGTGCGAGTATCTCAAGTGCAAGCAAGTGCTGGCTGGCTGCTCGCATGATCGTTGCTCTCTTTTTTTTTTTCTTTTTCTGTTTCTTGTTTCCTTGCATTGTCGCCGTCGTCTTTCGTTGAATTGACCTCAATTTCGCAATCTGTAAAATACAAAAAAATAAAAATAAAACAAAAAAAAAAAGCACACACACACACACACGCACACACACACGCAGATATAGAGGCAATCTTTCAGCGCTAACTCAATCGCAAATATGCGAATTGCACAAGGCGGCAAGGCAGTAAATAAGACAGCAACAGATACAGAGATACACACACACACACACACACACACACACACACACAGCAAAGTGTCTGAGAGTCGTTCGGGATGTGCGCGTTGCAACGATCCAAGGCGAGAGAGACTTGACCCAATTTCTAGTAGAAGCAGCCCAGCAGAGGCAGCAGCAGCTCCCTTTGTTGGAGTTCCACTTGATAAGTGAAAATTTACAAAGCATACACAGAGACAAAGACAGACAAAAAACTGGAATGCGTTGGCCCTGAACACACACACACATGGGGCATGGCAGCAGCAGCAGCTGAAAAGCAGCAACTAAAATCGAAGCTGTCTGTGCGGGGCAGGGCGGCACATTCAATCATTTAATGCTAGAATCCTTCAGTGCAGTAAAAATAAAACAAACCCCTTGCCATATCTTTTCAGAGCACACCCTGCAAACATCCGGTCATACTGCTGCAGGATGTCAACTTCATGGATCTGCACTCGCTGGTGGAGTTCATATACCATGGCGAGGTGAATGTGCATCAGAAGTCGCTGCAGTCCTTCCTCAAGACAGCCGAGGTGTTGCGCGTGTCTGGACTCACCCAACAGCAGGCCGAGGATACGCACAGCGTAAGTGTTGGGCTCCACAGCTGCCATGCCCACGACATGCCCACGACAAGCCCGCCTAATTCACATTTTTCTCCTGCAGCACTTGGCTCAAATACAGAATCTGGCCAATGCCGGAGTGCGTACACCGCTGAACTCGCATGCCCATCCACATCCACATCCACACCATGGCCCGCTGCACGATGATGGTGGCGCCTCGACATTGTTTAGCCGCCAGGGAGCTGGCTCCCCACCGCCGCCACCACAGTCGCTGCCCTCGCATCTCAACAACCAGCTGCTGAAGCGCATGGCCATGATGCATCGCAGCAGTGCGGCCGCCGCTGCCGAGGAGACATCGCATGCACTCAAGCGTCTGCGCGGCTCCGCCGACAATGGCCTGCCCCTGGGCAGTGGCAGCAACAACAACAGCCCCGATTTGCCGCCCATACATGCGCGCAGCGCATCGCCACAACAGACGCCGGCTGACTTTAGTACGATTAAGCACCACAATAACAACAACACACCGCCGCTAAAGGAAGAGAAACGTGAGTGGTCGAATGGACGAGACATCATTGAAGCCACATCTAAACGAAATCTTTATTTGTTGCAGGCAACGGACCCACTGGCAACGGAAACAATGGCGCCAGCAATGGCAACGGCAATGGCATCTCAATCAGCGATAAACTGGGCAGCCTCACACCTTCACCGCTGGCCCGTGCCGGTGCCGGTGCCGATGATCAGGTCAAGTCGGAGCCGATGGAGCTGGTGTGCTCCAATAACAATGCCAATCCCAATGATGAGCACAGCAATGACTCCACCGGCGAGCACGATGCCAATCGCTCCAGCAGCGGTGATGGTGGCAAAGGGTCCTTAAGGTAAATCCTCCTCAAATCCGCATTTACCCAATCAAAGAGATTAATCTTTTTGGTTCGTTATAGCTCTGGCAATGATGAGGAAATCGGTGACAGTCTCGCCTCACATCATGCGGCACCGCAGTTCATTATGTCGCCGGCAGAGAACAAAATGTTCCAGGCAGCCGCCTTCAACTTCCCCATGAGCAATCTCGATCATTCAGCGTTGCTTGGTGCGTATTCGGTGCAGACATAATCCTGCCACATCCAAACGACACTTCTAACACTCTTCTTTCTCTCTCTCTCTCTCTTTCTTGTTCTCTCTTTTCCATTTCCCTCTGTGCGCTCTCTGTCTTTGCCTCCTCTGCTTGTCTCTGTCGCGCCTGTCTCTCTCTCTCTACTGTCTGCCGATCAGGTCTCAACACACAATTGCAGCAGTCCGGTGATCTTGCCGTGTCCCCACAAGGTGAGTCCGAGCATTTCTCTATTTTTTGTACTTCTATTGTTTCGCTCTATTTGCGCTCAAAAGCTCATTATTACATTTTTTACATCAAATGCAAAAAATACAAAGAAAAAAAAGAATAATAATAATACCAGTAAAAGTACCAGAAAAAATACCAGTCAAATACAAAAAAAAAAAAAAAAAAAAAAAAAAAAAAAAAAAAAAAAAAAAAAAAAAAAAAAAAAGAACAAAAAAAACCAAATGAAAAGCAAAGAAAAAGCAAAAAGAAAAAACAATTTTGAACCAAATCTGCCCAAAAAATGCTGAGAGATTTTTATTAATGCCCGTACAACAAAATCAATTTGGTTGAAAATAATCTTCTGTTGATCTTCAATTAAATTTCATTGTTTTGTTGTTGTTGTCGTTTTATGGTTTTTGGAGAATTTTGTTTTTCATTTTGTTTTTTCTCTCGATTTTTTTCGTTTGAGTCTTCGAACTGACTTGAGAGGCAGTGTCATCCATGCATCCATTCTTTTGTATGTATGTATGCGTGTTGATCAGGAGCAGGACTTTTTTGATTTAACTTTCGATTTATACCGATTTATACCTTTGGAGACGACCGATCGATCCACCAAACCCCCTGCCCGCCCCACCCCCACCAAAGACCGCGGCTCAACACAAAAAACTGTCGATTGAGAGAACCACTACTACTGTCCTTTTTAATTACCAACAAAAACCGTTTTTCAGTTTGTTTGCGATTCCAAAACAAAATAAAAATAAAAAACCAAAACAAAAACAACAAAAAGTCGAGTTAAATGTCGTAGAAGCGTACAAATTTCTTTCTTGTTTGATTGTTTCGATGGTAAATGTTTTCATTTGTTTCGGTCACACACACAAAACACAACAAAAACCACGAATATCACAAACCCTCCCCCCCCACCCCCCACCCCCCAGAACGAGGAACAAAAATACAAATAAATGCCACAACTACAAGAAGAAAAAGTAAAATATAAAGAAAAAGGAATACGAATTCAAAATGCAGCTTAGAGAAACGGTTTTGTTAGACGCGCAAGTTATTTATGTATGACAAAAACGCCATGCTGATATGTCACTCGCCACTCGTCGCTCGTCACTCGCCACTCGCCACTCGCCACTCGTCAGTTGAACGATGATGATGATGAATGCAGAACGATAATTGCTTAACAAACAAATTTCTAGACAAGTTCAGGCAGAGTAAACACCAAACAACAACAAGGCCAAGGCAAAATTCACGCTCTCCCGCTTGTTTGATGAACTACACAAAATTAATTAACTCCATCTCCAACACAACACACTCCCCACAAGGGCATGGCCCGGAGGCCTGTTGCATGATGTATGCTGCGGTTAGGCCGCAACAATCCGGAGTGGCAGGGTAGGTCCTTCAAAGGTCCTGCGGCTGTTGCGGCTCAATTTGTTGATTGGTGTTTATTGCTTAGAGCAGGCAAACTAGGGAAAAACATTTTAGATGAGCTCGCTTCTCCGGCTTCTCCCAGCACCAGAACCAGAACCAGAACCAGATCAGAACTAATCCAAAAAAATACACACTGCAACGACGAGATGAGAAATATATATATACTTTTCGTGTATTTGTTGTGTGTTAATTTCCCTTTTGTATACACCCCCCCACCCGCCCGTTTTAACGTTCTTCTCGTTTTATTTTGCGTTACAAATATTCGTTGTTTTCTTCTAATTTTTTGTTCCCGTTTCCGTTTCGTTTTTGTGTGCTAATTTTTTGTATTCGTAATGAAAGCAACAACCCCCAGCCACGTCCACCCACCAAAAAGTTAAAAACCAAGTCAAACTCCAGCAAAATGTACTACAGCAACACGCAGCACTCACCCCGCCACCACAAACACACACCAAGCTCACACATAGACATGGCCTTAGACATCCACAAACACAACCAAACACACACACACACACACACACACACAGACACACAGCTCCTCACATTTACATGCATTACATAATTAGATATCAAAACATGAGATTAACCACAGACACAAAAAAGTGTACGAATTTGCAACGTTTTGTTTTTACACCCAATCCCACACCTCCCTTGCTCTATTGGTTCGATTGTGTTCCATTCCGTTCGTTTATCCCCCGTTTCCGTTTACCATTCTCTCACACAGAGAGAGTTAGAGAGCACGCAAATGCTTTTCAGTTTAATTTTGATATCAATTATGATTTGATAACCCTTGAGATGTTACTTGCGTTCCGTTCCATTCCGTTCCGTTCCGTACCATTGCGTTCCGTTATGTTGAGTTGTGTAAACTTATGTTCCATTCCGTTCGTTGCGACGAGCCCTAACCAAGACCCAGAGACCACGCGAACACAAGACTCTGCCCACGAGTGGGACGAGACTTCTCCGTTATTCGAGGAGGAGTCCGTCTCTGCACCACACAACCCGAGTACATTTTGCAAATAAAACATTTTATTGGTGTCAAACGTTTTCTTTTTAGTTTCCATTTGTAAAACGCAACGCATTTGAAGATCGAATATATATACAAAATACTTACATAAATATATATATATATATATTGAATATTGAACTCTTTCCTTTATTTGTACGTCGTCGTGCTTGTGTCTATAACTAAGTAAACCAAACCAAAATCAAATCCCACCAACCCCGAAAACCTAACCTCCCCACCCTCGAAACCAAAAGCAAACCAAACGAAACAAAATTTGAACCCAAACCAATAACCCCCAAAAGCAAAAGCCAAAAGAAAAAGCTTTTCGAATCGATTTTTCCATATTCATTTTTAGTTTTTGTTCAAAAATTTTGATTAAAGGGAAGGCGATTATCCACCACCATTCGATGTTTTCCCTTCCGTTGAAAAGACCCTCCCATCCGCAAACACTCGACCAGAAATTGATATTGAAATTGGGCCCCCTCAGTCGTGTCCTGTCGATCGTATCCAAAATTTGGCCTTTTATGTTCTGAGCACAATCCAACATCCCACCCCACCCCTCACAAACACAAACACCCATAAGGAATAAGGAATACCCTACTTCAAGAGTATATCTCATACCTGAAACGAAAACGAACACGAATACAGAAATGAGTGCGCACACCCAAGATCCTCCTGAAAGTCGCGTTAAAAGCAGCATAGATTGGCATTTGTATACATATATAAGCAGGGGTCTAGCTCCATAGTAAACAGAGAAAGAAAAAGAAGACACACACACACACACACACACATACATTAAAAAAGAAAACGAAAACCATTGCATACATACGAGCGCGCAACGTTCCGTGTCGTTTCCATCGTTCTACAGTAATACAGTAAAAGAGAAAAATGAAACCGTTCCGCGCGTCACACGGCAGACCCATACTACAACGCAAAAATGGTTCCCACCCCACAAACACACACACACACCAATAAATACACCGAAAAACACACACAAGATCAAGCCTACACCCACAGCACGCACGCACACAGGAAGACACACACACACACACACGAGAGACAAACAACGCACAAACACACACACACACACACACGCAGCTAATCGAAGGAGTCAAAAAATGCACACACTCTCACTCACACTCACACTCACACATTCCCGCCCAACACCAACACCCACACCCACACACACACGCACACGCACACACATACATGAACTCTATTATGCGAAGAGGAAAAATCACTAACCCTCAACAAATTGATCAACTAACGCTATTCTTTATTTACTTTCCAATTGTACTAACCGACCAAAATTTACAACAAATTTCTACCCCTACAATAATCGTGAGACCCCCTATACATATATATATCAACCTACCCACACACCCATATATATATATATATATATATATATATGAGACCAGTATATACATATATATACAAACTATTGTTAAGAATTGAATCGATCTAACCCCTCGTATACGTATATAAATCCGCTTTACTAAACATTCCCCAAACCTTACCCAACCACCTCCAATGGATACAAAGATACAGCCACAATCGCTCACAGGCGATCCCCCACCCAAAAAAAAGCAGACAAATCGATACATGATATACAATCACACACCCTCTTCCCCCGTTCTCCCACACACCACACAACCACCCAACCACCCAACCACCCAAAATGACCCACAACCACAAAAGGAACTATACTGAGAACTAAACGTCTCCACAAAAGGCTTCAAAGTATATACAAATTGATTGACAAAAACCGCTTTAAATTACGCTCTATATATACATACATATATATATATTTATTATACATGAACACAACACACACACAAACAATTTGAAAAGAAAAAAAAGAAAAACAAAACTCGTGAAGAGAATAGTTATCTAGATTACGCCTAGAATATACAAGAATATACATCAATTGTGTATGCCTTTAGTTTAATTCCCATGCGAACAGCATTCAAAATTCACTAATTTTAAGTTCCACAATTGGTGACCCCGACAAAACTCCACTCAACCAACGAAAATATGTATCCAACACCCATTAAAAACTATTTAAGTTATCTCCTAAGCACACACGAATTAAAAGAATTTGAACCACATGGAAGAAAACATGATCCTCGATCCATTGCTGGCTGCTGTGGAGCAAGGGAGGTTGGCTATGGAAGTGCTAATAGAGTGGAAAGAACATAAAGGGTGGAACAAAACTAGTCGTAGCTATGAGGAATACAAGAATTAAGAAAGAGAAAAGAGTATTAGAACCAACAAAAATAATTATGAGGCAACAAAATGCAAAAAAAGTAAAACCGTCAAGAAAAGAAAGAAAGCAAAAAGAATAGCGTGGAGCATAAGAACACGAATAAAGAGTGGAATCGAAAAGCTAAAGAATAGTGTCAAACAGAAGACATTAAAAGCGATAGTTCACGAATCAAAAAATCCTAGTTTTGTGCAGAGCTTAATGGAAAATGTACTTGAACCAATAGCATCTCATAAGCAGCCGAAGTATAGTATCGATACAATTCCTGTCCACCTCCCTAGCCTTCAACAGCCTTCAGCATCGAGGTA